ATGCGATTATTTACATTAGCAATTTCTCTTTGCATACAATTTCTTTTGCATTTATTTGCTCGTAAGCTCATAAACCACATTACTTGGCCATGGGTAACCGTGTGTGTAATGCCCCTCCTAACGGTTTTTAGCCCGTTTTCCAGTTTAAAGTTGGCCTTTCTGCTTTCTGTTTGCTTTTCGCACTGATCCGAGATAAAGTCTGACTCAGAGTCTGTCTGTGCTGACCCAAAATTCTGGAAAATATAGAGAGAGGAGAGCTAATTGTTTGTCAACGCTTCTGACACGTTTGAAATGCTTTGCTATATAAAATATTATGCTGACAATGGCAGTCGAAAAACTTTCCAGCTAAAAGAAGAAATAAGTTTTAGCTTCTGGCCATCTGTGTTTGCTTTTCGCCTTTAATTTAATTGCCTCTGCTTTGAAGGCAGCAACTTAGTTTGGCAACTAAGCGCTTTTCACGAAAATCAACACAAAATGCAACATTTGCCGGCGTCCATGACTCAGTTTCCATTCACATGCAAATGGGCAAGAGAGACACAGATGTGTGTGGAAGTGGGAAAAACAGAAACGTGTTTTCCCAGTCCCCAAGGCTGAGAGTGGTCCGAGCTGCAGCTCGGCATTAGATCTCGAAGACGTGGCCCGTCTTGGCCAAGGTTAGCCACTTTGATGTTGCCACTGATGTTGATTTTCCGCGGCTTTAACCGCCGATTAACTAGCTTTAATTTTTCACATGCATTCACTCTCGTGGAAACTCATTTATTAATACTATTTTTATTCCATTTTTTATTATCTCTGGCGCTTATTGTATAAATTTTAAATGACAGACGTGCTCTGGCCGGCAGGCAACCTTTGGTAATTACAGTTTATTAATAATATTTTCATATTAACTGTGCAAATATTGTAACAAAAACAATACAATTGTGTATATATATATATATATATTTTTAATGCTCCTTTTTTTGCTGGCAATTTTGTTATTAATATCCATTGACCGACTGGTCCTTGATGTAAATTATATGCCACGTGCATTTATTATTCATAAAACCTGCTGACATTATCTAACCAAATAAAACTCTGTCGCTGATTGTCAACAAATGTTGTGAAGAGGAAAAGCATTAATAATGCTCTGGGAAATGCTCGAAATGTTTACGGGGCAAAACAAACTCGCTTCTTTATCAATTAAGAACTAAATGAAAAACAGTATTAATAAAATTATGAATAAATATATAACATTTTTAAACATTTTGTATTAAATCATGAAATATTCCTAAAACTCTATTTAAAATCCTTTATAAATTGTAGTAAATATTTGATAAAAACTCCTATAGAACCCCTTTCAAATTCCACTTTCCGGACAATCCTGCTCCTTTGGGCAAAACTTTCAAATCACTTTCCTTGGCTAATTAATCATAAGAATATTCAGAGAGGCGAAGCCCTTTGTTGAAGCTGTAATTAAAATGTTATCTCTCTTGCCCGCTGTTCACACTTTCTCCAGCTGGGGGTCACTCCGGGCTCTTATTTCCCTAAAAACTGAGGAGGTGACGACAAACGACAAATGTGTGTGTGTGTGTGTGTGTGTGTGAGGAGAGATGGGGCCACGGCCACCCTTAGGGTTAAAGGTGCGACGATGCCTTGAGCTGAGGTTAAGTTTGCGCTTGCTGTGCCCATTTAACCTTTGGGTGTGTGTATTGTGTTGTGTCTGGCCACGGGCAAACATAATTGAAGTCATAAATAACGAATTATGTTGTGAAAGCTGAGCCAGGGATATCAGCAACAACAACAACAGCAGCAGCAGAAATGAGGCAGCGCATTTGTTTAGTTAACTTTCTGCTCCTACAGCTTCAGTTTCACACTTTTTGCATAATTATGACAGGCCCCCGGGGAAAGGCGTCTGCGGAGGTGGGCGGAGAGGTGCACAGGAGTTTAAGTTGTCCGAGTTCCTGGCTAATTATGCAAACCTAGCGCAGGCCAAAAAGATTTATTATGATGGAATAACTTTTTAATGCAACGGGGGAAGGGGGAACGGAAAGGGATACACGGGATTCGTCCAGGTAAGTTCAGCTTCTCTCTGTCTAATTAAAAGCTCCAACGCTTTGGGGGCAGTTTTAATAAATTTTATGATTTTGTTTGACATGCCTCCGAGGGAAGGCCTTCCCTCAACTTCCTGCTGCGTATGTTTGCTATTTTTTTTACAGGGTATTTGCGGAGTTTTAGGGGTTTCGTTCAGCTTTGTTTATAATAGTTTCCATATAACAACTAAATTTGTGAAAAATATCACACTATACTCCCGTTGACTTTTCCTTTTCTTTCTCCCTGCGTTAGACAAGCACCAAACCTACATTCTTTACATAGTATCCCTAATTCGGGATACTTTTCCCTTATATAAAGCATATTATGAGATGAAAATATTGTTAGGTGAGAGAAATGCACACACCAGGCTCGTACAAATAGTTGATAGGATGAAAACTTTTTGTTTCAACACCGCCAGCAGCGAGGTAAAGTGTTTTTAATTAATGAGTCCTGAGTCCTGGCGCTTCCTCTGCCGTTAGCAGCCCATTGGATGCCAATAAAAGTGCATTAAACTGCCATTCGCTGGCAGCACTTTGCATTGAACACGGAGCATTCAGCGCTAACAGCCTGATAAATGGCTATGAATATTTCGTCAGCAGTCGGACTGTCCGTCCGTCCGTCCGTCTGCTTGTTGTTTGCTCTTATAAAAAGTTATTTTCTCGTTTCCTTCACTGTGTGCTTTTCTTGTTTCTCTTTTTTTTTTTTAATTAAAACAAAGTCAACTTGCTGTTATCCAAAGGGGACAGGAAAAAGGGTAAACGCAGTTGGCGAACCACAAAGTGCAAAAGTGCATTAAAAATGCATTTTAATATTGGCTGCATATTGTTGTCTGGTTGCAGGACTTTTCTCTGGGCGTTCGAGCGTTCCTTTGTATTGCCAAAGCCATCATCGGTATTTAATGTTTCCCATGTTAATTGCTTGGAAATAAGTTAACACAAGAAATGCGTTCATTCCAGTAAATTAAATGTGGAATTCTATATTGCGACTGAAATATTTATGTAGTTAGTAAATTATCAACCTGAAGCTGCATTAGTTTAGTTGGAAAGTTATTGCAACAGTTGAAAATTCTGTTTACAGACTTTATGAAATCTTCAACCCAAGTTGCCTTGACATTTCCTGCATTTCGCTGCCCAAAACTTCTCCCATTTAATATTCATCTCATCTTGGCTAACCATTTTCCTCGTAATTAATTGCTGGACATTTGTTGATGTTTTGCAAAAAAAAAAAAGAAAATGGCTGTCAAGTCTTCCGCTGAGCCCGTTTCCGGTTCCGGACCGAGCAGGACTTGTGTGCAGATTTCCGAACGAGCACGTTTGCTATGAATATGAGAATGAAAAGTTGCCTGGCAGTTGCCAAGGAAACCGAATTACATATTTCAGGGATTACGACGACTGAGACTACCTGGGAGGACCCGCAGCTCTGCTCATTTGCGCTGATTCCGAGCGGAAAACGTTTGTCGCCAAATTTCATTTCAGCTGTTCGCCTCAATTCGATTCGATTGACATTAATTAATGATTGTTTCGACTCGATTCCCAGCTAGGAGGAGCATTGATTTACGTTGTCATCGATTCCCCTGGTCCTGGGCCCGGTCGTTGCCTTATTATTATGCTGGCACAGCGACAATTCTCCGACCGCCAACCAGCAGAAGGCGACAGGGATCCCAGCGTCTCGACGGCTCTACTGCGTCCCTTCTGCCTCTGCCTCTGCCTCCTAGTCCCAACCCATTGCCATTGACGACGGGAATCGCTTGGACGGGTGTTAATGATGATGAGCTATCCCTGTCCACGCTCCTGTCAGTGATGCACTCGTGAAAAGTCTCAGTGAATATTTGGTATAAATTCAAAGAAATGGTCGCAAATAAAATATTTCTTAGAGAGAAACCCAACACAATGCCAGAAATAAATGTTAAAATATTTAAAAACCCTTTAAATAATTTCCTCAGATTTTTTAAACTCCATTAACAACAAAAATTGATAAAAAAAATTAATTTTAAATAGCAAAACTTGGGAGATTAATGCTCTTTTTTAGAGTGCATCCTACGCTCCTGCTCCCTTTATCCTTGCAAATCTCACAATTGCGGTCCGACTTCGTGCCAAGTTTCCGTAATTATTGCCGAAACCAGTTTGGACTTTGCACCCCAACTCTGCTGGGGAGCAATATTTAATTATGGTTTTGGCTCCGGACTTGAGGTTGAGCGGCATTTGCGGTTTCTGCCTTCGAATGTGTGCGAGTTTATCAATCAAATGGCAATTTGGTAATTAGCATTTAACCAAACTTCCTTCCATTAACCGAGGCAGCAGACAATTGAAAAGTCAGCTAGCTTCCTGGCAATTCGATTCGACTAAAAGCCTGCGCAGCAACTATTAATCTCCTGAAAGCCAAGGGAACTGGGACCTCCACCTCCTCTTGCTCCTCCTCCAAAGTCATTAAAAATGGAAAGCCGATGGTCGAGCTCAGAGTCAGATTTTTATATGCAGTTTATGGCTTCGATTAGCTAATCGGATCGGATAAGGAAGCAAACAATCTGCGCTAGTACTGTATTGTTTGCATATTTCATGACCTTTGACAACAATCGGGCGGGAGTGGAAAATCCCCGAAAGGGAAATCCGTTCAGGAAAATGAAGCCGAGGGATGGGGAAAAGCTTTCAGCTATCGCCAAGCAAATCCTTGTGGATTTCCACGACTCTACCGACTTGCATTTCTATGCAAGGCAGGACGTTTCTTCTCCGAAAGGGAAATTGCGCCATAATAAATGTCAGAGATTCTTCTGGGGAATGCCCCCCTTTCCTCCCGCCGCAACTGGATTGTGGTTGAGGTGAGTGTTAAATCTTAGTGCATTAAGGGGATGGTTTTACTCAAGGAACACTGGCTATGTCTGCTAGGGTATGCTCTTAGTATTTTTAAACATTTTAAAGACAAGTCTCTAGAACCTAGCAACCGGCTGAAAAGTATTCAGTTCGAAAGCAATCCTCAAGCAACGCATTCTAGCAGTCGAACTGACTAGCAAAATCGAATCCGGGAACAAATATATTGTGGAAATATTTATCCGGAAAATCACATAAGAAATCAAATCACCTCCAAGATGTCGGACAACACTGCTGTGACTTGTGCCCTCAACTTGGTGCTCTGCGGAGCAACTGGCTTCGGTCTCTTCAAGATCGGGCCTTCGGAGCATCCCTGGGCCTTCACCTCCTGCCTGATCGGGTTCACCCACGGACTTGTGGGCCTGGTCGGTATCTTGGCCGACGATGACAATGCCAAAAAGATGCAAATAAAGACGGGCGGCATCTTGGAGATCGTATCGCTGCCCCTGGTCAATGTGGATCTGTATCTGGAGACCGCGGAGAGCAACAACATAGCATTGGGCCATGGCCTGTTCATGGTCCCGCTGACCGTGAGCGTGATCCTGGCCTTCTGGAAGGACGAGGGAGCCATTGATGTAAGTGGAACCGTGCAAACGCTGAAGGTCTTGACCATTTTGGGCAATATTACCTCTCTGGCGTTTGTGATGATAAACGAGAGCAGCGTGATTATGGGCGGCATGGCCGTTCTGGCCTTCATGGCCAAGTTTGGTGCCGATCTTTGCGAGGAGCATATACACGATGACATCCGCCTGCCGATACAATATCTCAGCTGGTCCGGCTTCTTCGTTCTTTCCGCATTTGCGGTTGCCAGCGAAAAGTAGGAGGAAGGTGATTACCAGGAGGTACCGAGTTGCAGTTCTTCAGTTCAGCTAATCCAAAATCCATTCGACCCCAGCCTCTTTTTTCCCCCCTAACTGTACGGATGATGTATAAATTATTAGAGTCACTGTAATTAAATAGCTGGCAGGGTATCTGTTGTACTTCAAGATTTCTGCTGGCTTTCATTTAGATATGTATTTTTATTTAATGTTCAATGTAGGTAGTACCCACGCTTTTCAGCTTAAGCCATATTCAAGCCAAGTTATTGCTACTTCACACAGAGTTCACAGTTTCCCTGTTTTCCAACGACTTTTTACCCCTGCCAAATGCTTAAAAATGCTCTACAAAATTTGCATAATTTTAAATTAAAGGGGAAACGAAGGGGAAGAAAAAACTAGAAGTTTTCATTTAGCAATTGCATTTGGTTCTTTTTTTTTAGTTATGGCGAAGACTGCCAGCTGTGCACACAAGTGTTCAGGGGTGTGTCCCGGGCCGGGTGATATGGTGGCTGGGATTTCAGTGCAGGATCGGAATTGGGATGATTTTGACAAGACAAAGGGACAGGGACAGAGACCGGGGGCAGTGGTAGGTAGTTCACCCTAATTATGTCAGAGTGTGTAAAGTCAGGCGACTGAAACTCGAGCGCTGCGGAATTATGTCATCAACAGGAGGGGAAAAACAAATGCAGCAGGGGAAGGGAAGGAAGGAAGAAAAAGCCTTGCCAGCCAGTCAGCCTTTTGTGATTAGCTTGGTCATTTGGAAATTGAGACGTCAAGAGGGCCGCCTCGGGGCTTCGTCTTTACCGGATTAGATTTTTGGGCTACTTATGGTTTGGTTTTAAGCAGCCGCAAGCAGGACAGGGAAAAGTCTGTTACCCGAGGCAGCATAGAGCCAAAAATGGAGAAAATACCAACAGGTGACGGCAGGAAAGGATAAAAAACTTTGTAAAACTCCTAGCTTTTGCTAAAGTTGCATTTTTAGCTAAAGTTGTCCTCAACTTTACATTACATGTAACCCAAAAATGTGAACATTTGCTTTGTTTCGAAATTCGGAAAATTCGATTAGGGACTTTAAGTTCAATAGGGGGCGGCATTGGAAATGGAGGCGACGAAATGAAGTGAAGTGTTAATGAGATTAGTTACCCCAAATATGCAACTTAATTTACATAAATACACGAGTCCTTTGTTCTCTTCGGCCTTATTTAATGCCTATTATGCTTAGTCACATTCAATGGTTTCTTTTGTTTGTCCCTCATGGCCGAGTGGTTAAATTAAGTAAGTAATTGGGGTTCTTTGCAAAGAAAACTGTTACCCTAAAACCTTACGACGGAAAGGAAAACAAAAGAAATGTTACGCGAACGAAAGTAATACTACAAAAAAAATATAATAATAATGAATAATTAAATAAAATATAAAAAAGAATTAATTATTCAGAGCAAAATTAAAAACTTAAAAAAATCTTATGGCGTTGAGCATCTTTCATCTAAATTCCTTCTGCAACATTCGGCAACTGCTAACACGATTTATAAATTAGTAAATGTAGATATTTTGTAATTAGAAACAAACAGGCAAAACAGCAAGACCTGCATGATTGATTGCCATGGCTCAATGCAGAAAACACAAATTAAATTGAATATGAAAATAAACAAAATAAAACAAGAAAATAAATAAAAGTACAACTTGACCAGCTGCCCGAGAAAAGAGGACTGAAATTTGTTATGACCCGTTGGTCTTATATATGTTATTGTGATCAGCCTACTAAGATGATCTTTCGTAGAAAAAAGTCTTGTAATGAAGTAGAAGTGACTCTAGGAACTCTATCGATAGTTAAACACTCTCGATATTTTTCATAAAATATCATGAATTAAGTTTATACGGTTTTCAATAGGAGAATATGATGCCAATCTTCATAAGTTTGCATCTGCATACATTTTTTGCCACCCCTCTGCCAGCCACTTTATGGGCTGGGGATAAGCCTCTCGAGTGACCCTTAAGTGACCTCATAAGTCCAAAGCAACCCCGTCAATTGAGCTGTCAATTAGCGCCTCGAACAACCCAATTTCGATTCATTGAACATTCGAACAAAACACAGCAAAAAAATAACAATAATAGCAGTCAAGCTGAGTTTGCTAATCCCACCTAACGAGAGGTTCTTGTGGACCGAGGGTAGCACAAAATCCACTCGGAAACTGTCCAAAAAAGAGGATTATTCAGAGGGGAAGAACTGGGACTTGGCTACCTGGAAAATAATCATTCGAGATCATTGTCTGTGAGCATTTTCCGGGGGATCCTCGCGCTACTCATGAATGGGAGAACATATGTAACTGCCATCCCGGGGAGCATTGTGCAATCCGCATGATAAATGCGAGGAATATAATTCCTTTGTTATATGCAAGAGGAGAGAGCCAGGAGCTGGGCTCGTCGTCCGTTCATTTGTCTATTTGAAATTCGGATTTAGAATGTGCTGTGAATCAAATCCCTTATTCCACTTCCTGTGTGCCGTTTCCCTTGATTTATTATTAAATCCTTACATGATTATTAGTTTTTCTCTCTCGGCTGCTGAGGTAATAATTTCCCAAATTCATATATATGGTATATGCACCCCTGCGGATCTTTGGCAGAGAAAAAATAACAATAATAAAAAGGAACCCCTGTTTTCCTCAGCGCCACTCCTTTTGCACATTTCGGCGCTAAATTTGATTTATATACATTTGATTGTGTGCTGCCTCCGGACTACCCTTAGCAGCACATCGTCCTCCCTACCCTATCCCTCCCGATCTGTATCCTTTCGCTAATGAATTCAAATGTGTGCGTAATTGAGTTATTAAAACTTCAGTCCCCTTGGGCGGAACCAAATATACATGCGTCCGTGTGATGCATTTGAGGAATTTCAATTTGGAAATACTTTAGAGGCGTTCATGTGAGAATTTTCGCTACAGTTACAATGGGAATGAAAAAAGTTTAATTTTAATTTATGGGCAAAATGCAATTTATCTTTTTTAGACCGTGCTTCGGCTACGGAGTAGTACCAGAAAATACTTAACAAAAACTTGGAAAAGGTAGCGAAATATTTAATTAAATATTTAAAAAATAAGAAGATTGAAATAGAAGAAAGCAAAAACTTGAAAGCTCAGTAATGTTTTGCTGTAAAATTGTTATACTATTATTTCATAAAATAAAATATTTTTAATGTTATTTAGGATTCATAATAAGATAGTAATTTTTTAAGAATAAGAAATATTTTTCTTCACAAATTTATAGCAGTTTATAACATTATTTTAGCAATCATAATAACATTTAAATGCCAAACCCAAATGGTGCGCCAATTTGTCACAATCGCTGGACCAATGTGTCTCCCCTTTTCCCCCCCGTCGAATCATCGAACATCGAATATATTTGCAGCCAATAATTCCCCTTAAATACGGTCGCTTAAATTATGTATGAGTAGCGAAAAAAAAAAATTACCCGAAAGTGAAAAATGTTTCGTTAGCTCCACAAATATGTAAAAATGACTTTTCATTTTTTTGTTGCCCCCGCAGTTGGAGTGTATTTCTGGGTAAATTGTTCGAGTTTTTTCGGTTATAGCTACTCAATTGGCGCCACAAATTTTCGCCCTGTTTTTATCGGATTCTTTTTAGTTTAATATTTTTTTTTTCTGCAATTTTTTTACGGGCCATTTAAAGAGCGCCATGGGAATGCTTCGGGGGAATCACCGGGGATTATGGGCCACCGTGCGAACGTGAGGCGGTGGCAAACACACAAATATTAACCTTTTTCCCGGCACACACACACACACGTAGTACATACATATATATAATGCACTCCCACTGCCACCGCCTCGAAGAGCTGCAAATATTATATTTTCAGGGTTAAATCTATATAATAATTTTGCGTGCTCTTGATTTTCACGGCACTTCTAACTCTCAAGTGCTGGATACAAAAAGGGGTTGCCGCTGCGTAAAGTAAAACCCATAATTTGGCTTAATAGTTTTCGCAATTACCCAGAAAAGGGTTTGGAAAAGGGCCCTGCGTCAGGGTCGCTTCGCCGGAAGTGCCGCTGGAGAGGCGTGTAGAGCGTGGAGTGGATAAACAGGACGTCGAGTGGAGGACGTGATAGGAAGAGCAGGAAGTGGCAGTGGAAACAGCCTGTTTATGCGTGAAATTCGCCCGACGTTCGCCAAGGATATTTGTCAAAGACCGAGCCCAAAAACGTGAGTAGGGGGCTACAAACCGATTCGAAGGGGGAGGCCGGAAAGGAGGGTACACTCCCGTCGAGCCCCTGTCAATTATGAATTTATTATGGGCCGCGATTGCTTCTGTGTCTGTGTGTCCCGGGTAATTACTGCCAGGAGTGCAATTGTCCTGCTTGACAGGGGAAAAGGGGAGAAAAGGGCAATGCCAGCGAACAGCTGGCAAACTAAAAATGATTGAATGGTTAAGGATTGCGGAAAATCGTTGCGAAAAAAAAAAGAAAATGAATGATAATTGAGAAATATTCACATGATAACGAGAAATAAATTTAATAATTGATAAGGCACGTTTTTACCTGAATCCTTTCCTAGACAAATGTTAAATTATTGAACATTATTTCTTTACAATCTCTTGCAGCAACTAAAAGTAAACTTTTCAAAGACCTAAAGCTGGCATTCGTTATTACAATTTTTTTAAATTGTTTTCCATGGCTCTTATTGCATTTTTTCTTTCCTTTTCAAACATTTTACAACTTCCCTTTTAACCACACATAGTTTTTCACCCAACGGAGCCCCTCCTAAGTGAAGTGCTTTTTCAAGCCTAGCTATCTACACTTTCCTTTGGGAAAGCCACAAAAAAATGGTACCTAGTTCGTACTCATATTTAGTAAACGTTTATCTTGTTCATTGATTTTGCCTTTCACATGGAAAATCCAGGCAAAAGACACTCGAAGTGGGGCTCTTTCCTCCTCGCTTTGCTCGGTTTATTGTAAACTGTTCTGAAGAGGGCCTCTCCAATCCCTCTTCTCAGCTCTCCACCCGATTTCCACAGCTTTTCCCCACTCCGCACTTCAATTTATGTAGATTTTAAGTGGCAAATTGTATTTGCATTTTTAACATTTTTTCGTATGAAAGAGCATAGAGGCCACAAGTAGCCCTCATCAAGAGGGCATCAGAGGGTTAAGAGGGCAATTACTGATTGCATATTAATTGAAAGAAA